CCCCCCCCCCCCCCCCCCCCCCCCCCCCCCCCCCCCCCCCCCCCCCCCCCCCCCCCCCCCCCCCCCCCCCCCCCCCCCCCCCCCCACCCTTAAGTAAAAAGATTCTGAGTATGACATGAATGACTAAAAAAATTTCACGCTGCATCTAAATCTCTAGTAGACTTCTTTATCGATTAATCTTTATCGTATTACACTCATGTTATTACTGTTTGCATTTGTCGACATATGGTTTTTATACTCGTTTTACCACTCCAAATTAAATGTCGATTTTACCGTATTTTATTATCATATTTAACTGTTGCAATGTTACGGTGAAAACACCTCATAAATCATTATTGTTTATCCAATTATTCTATGTTTGACAGTTCTTCTAATTATTATACATGTTGAAAAATAATGAATGGTACTCTCGCAAGATTTCCTAGTTGTATGATCAATAGATAAAGAGAAAATGCTCACGCATGTTCTTATTAAAGTATGTGACTTAAAGTATATATTCTATAACAATGTGTTAAATAATGGATATGTATTAGTAAATTATAGTTTTTATACCGGAAGAAAACATTCTGATTAAAATTTTCTGATCTGGTTTTGAAAAGCAACTTTTCACCATCATTTTTTTTGGTCTTTCGTCACATCTTTCGTCTTTCGTCATTCAAGTATAAACTGGTCCAAGTTATGATTTATATCTTCGTGAGACTGAAATCACGCATAGCATGTAAGAAGCCATATTTCAAAAGCTATATTAGAAAAGAGATTAAAGCTAATGCACAAGACATTCATGAATAAAAACATAATCATCTACAATTTGGATTTTTTTCTGCAGAATATTTCTTGAAACTAAACAAAGAATTATTGTACATAAGACTTGAAATCAGTTCATTGCATTTTATTGTTCTAATGTATCTAAAATTTATCGATCAATTTGCTGTCGATCAAAAATGCTGTTCGATTGATCATTGGTGATAAAATAGTTATATATACTAGAAATGATGATCATTGAACATCATGTTAAACGTGTCATTGATCAATAGCGGATGAATTTATGTGTGGATTTTGTGAAGAAGGGAGAGAAAGAAATTTGTATAAGAGAATAAAATCTTAATAAACCATATGTAAAATTGAAAAAAAAAGACTTTGAACTGATCATCGTACATCTATCAATAAAAACGCGTCATTATGTCTTAATATAAAATTTATTTCAAAAACAAACAACAACACAAACAGAAGTTATTGGTAACTTGAAGATGTTTTATATTGAGTGACGATTTATTTTTATCTCTTATTTTCACAAATATTATTATGATTATAGAGCAAAAAAAAATCTTTATTTCGATTAAATATACGAGCTAATACAATCACAAAAAAAAGCAACGAATTTTTTTTCTTATTAAACGTTTTTCTACAAATGACAATAGAGAATTTCACCTCTAAGAAAAAAAAAAGGTAGCAGGCAAGAGGAAACGTTTAAAATCGTTTCAATCGGAGAGAACTTAACCGAAAGTATCATGTTTGATTAAAAACAGGAAAAAAACAAGATGAATGAACAACAACAACAACAATAAAAAATGAAAAATCGATCGAATAACACAAAAAAAAAGTTTGTGATAAAAGCTTGGCAAATTAAAGATTACAGAGAAGTCTGACAATGTTCACCTATCTGACAGGTTTCAGTCATCGCTTACTCTCAGAATGAATAATGATATAACATGTTAGAAAGAGAAAAACAGTTGAAAGAATTCATGATGAATAACATCTTTCTTAACCACTTTGACACGACAGCTTCTCGCATTTATAATACAATATTCACAAAAAAATATTTCCTTCATACTTTTTTATCTTGTGAACTAATTGAAGTTATTTATACAAACTATTCGAGTGTAAAAATAGTTTCTACCAGAAAATTAATCATGCTTGTTGGACATTAAGAATTAAAATATAGGACAGACGATCATTTTCAAAAATTTCATTTATCTAATTGTAAACGAAACTTCGATAGACGAAGAAGGAAAAAACAAGTGTTCCATATGCCAATTTTAGAAATTAGCAAAAAAACCAAAAAAATGTACAGAGGGAGGCAAATTTTATAAAATTCCTTTAATTTATAAGGATTACATAGTGTGTGCGAATAAAAACAAAAAAAGGTGAGGGTTAGAAATGGTTGAGTTTGAGTATGAGAGTAAAAGAATCGAAAAACAACCACCAGTTGTGAAAAAAAAGAAAGAAGACTAAATAACAAACAGTTAAAATGGAGAATGGAGGAGAAAAAAAGATGATCACTCTATTATATGAATACACTAGCATGTATGATTAAAAATCCGATATTTAATGCTTGAGAAAAAACGGGCTACAAAATCGAAAACTTGACAGTGCGAGTATATTCTTTACTTTTTCGTATGTTCTTCTATTCGTGCAGTGAGAATTTAAGATCAACTACAGACGAATTCTTCATAGAAATTGCTTTGTTTTATTCAGCATAGGTCCCTATATACTCACACAATATCTCTAACAACTGTCTCAATGATAAACATTGGAAAAAGAAAATATTCTTAGTCAACAGATGGCAAGGTGCTTAGTTAGAAATATGTGTAATATCTAGCAGATCATTTTCAACCGATCTTCGAATGAAAATTCGACAAAGAGCTGTCAAAAATGGCTTTTGTATTCACATTTTACAAAAAAACTCGTAGAGAAATATAATAAACATCAATTTTGGAAAATAGTTTCTCTAAGCAAAGAAAGGGACAAAAAGTAAAATGAAAAATATGTGAGTATTTTTAGGTTTGTATGAGGAGAGAAGAAAAAAGAGTGGAAGCTAAAAGAAAATTAAACCAGAGAATGTTATATTAATTGTATTATTTGCATATTATTTATCCCTAATTTGATTGTTTGCTATTATTGTTAATAATATTTGAATCAGTTTGTGAAATTGTAGTATTACTTGATGTTGTTGTTGTTTGCTTTTGATCATTTATCGATACTTTTGTAGTTGTACGTGATGCGTTATTTGATGTTCGACCACCACCTACAAATAAAAAAAAAATAGAATGTTAATTATTTTTATAAATAAATATCAGAAAGTATGAGCTAATCGCATAAACAGTAAATTGTCAATGATTTTCAGAAAATGATAACGAAAAACAGCCGTAGCCGTTAGACGACATTTCGTACAAAATATTAAAATTGATACGTACCTCATTGATAATTTTCCTTTTTATTTCAGTATTTTAAAAATTTATTTGTTCCATAGAAGTAAACAAAAATATCTCTCACAACAAAAAAAAGAGGTTAGAAATATTAAAAAAAACGCAAAGATATAAATTGTAGTTCTTATTAGTTTCTTTTTTTATTTTTTGTCTTCTTCAGTGTGCTCTCTCTAGCAATATATACATATATGCATAATAATTCCAATATGATATTGTTTTTCTACTTCTTAATTGACATTTTAGATTCATGACGGCTACAGCGAATATTTATACGCTTAAAGTACTAACAATAAAAACAATATTTTAAATTCAAAATAGAACCTTATTCGAGAATGTGAGCCAATCTAATCTAGTATATTTTCATATTTAGAACAGAACTGGGCAAGTCACGGGTTTTCCAAGTCACAGTCAAATCATCAAAAATTTTTACAGTTAAGTCAGGTTGAGTCACACGTCATGACCTGAAATTTTTTTTTCCGTAGAAAACGGCATAAAAGAGTCTCCATTCCTTGGTATTAGAACACAAAGTGGCTATGCTATTGCAAAATGCGCGTCTTATTACTGTGCGTAAATTCTAACATATTATAACATCAACATTCCCAAATCATTATGAATTATTATTTAAAATTAGATTGCATAAGCGATTTAAAAATACTTAGGGCATACCAAAAGTAGTGGCAGTGGTATTTTTATCCCTTATAGAAAGGTTAAAGAAACTTTCTTTTTATATAGTCTGATAGAGAAAAGAATGTTCTATTTTTCTATGCTATTTGATC